ATACCCTAAAACCAACTGGTTTGGGAGTCATTGACAAAAAACTCATTATATGGGTAACTTAAAAAGCCTAAGGAAACTCGACATAAAAAGAAAAAAAAAAAAAAAAAGAGGGAAGAAATAGAAAGAAATAATAATAAGTGCTAAGGTGTGAAAGTCTAAACTTGAGACTTCTGACTATGAATTTCCACACACACACTAAGTGCTCATAGGCTAAATCTTTTAACAAGTGATGTGAAGAATAGGATGAGTATTTGACTTTAAGTGAGCATATGAAACTCTTGAATATTTGAGACTTTGTATCTAATTGAACTTTAATTCCTAAATTTTCTTTGCATGCATATCATATAGTTTCATTCTTGCATTGGGATTTTGTGGGTAGATCTGCTGAAAACCCTCACGAGACACAACTTGTCCACTAGGGTGACCTAGGGGTTTAAAGGCTTGTTTCACATGCTAAGTGCAATCATGATTCCTACGAAAGTGAGTTAGGTTTTATTTTTGTTTCTTTTGTCTTTTTATTTTACTCGAGGACGAGTAAAACTTAAGTTTGGGGGAATTTGATAAGTTGAATTTGTATGCATATTACTGTGGAATTGTTGCCTTGATGTTATTGATATTTGGATGAGTTTTATGAGATTTTACTGAGTTTTACATGGTTTTCATTCTTTGAGCAGAAAAGAACTTGAATGCATAAAAATAAGAGTTTTTGAGATTGATTGAACATCTTTTGAAAGTTGAGAGACTGAATTGCAAGAAGAAGGGCACATCTTTGCGACTTCAACGAATGAATCTTGAGGTTTGGGATCTAAGTGCTCATTGTATAAAAGATGGAGGACCAGATCTGCTATTTTACCATTGAAGAAATTGCAAAGAGGAATGAGAAACTTGATACGAGTGTAGTGTGTGTCGACACCATGCGTTCACCATCCAAATTTCAGCTTTTCTATTCTGTTCAAGTCCTATTTTTATTTCAATTAGGGTTTCTAAAATCCTATAAATACCCATCCAAATTCAGAATTAGAGGAACTTGGTGGAGGCTAGTGGCAGCCCTCTTTTGGGCATTCTTGAAGATCAAGAGAGAGGATTCAACAATAGGAAATCAAAGATTGCAATTTTCTCAAATTGGATTTTATTCTTCCTTGTTATTCTTATGTTCATAACTATGATTTTAGATTTTATTATTTTTATTATGAATTGATTTATTCTATTAGGGCTACGATGTAGCTTAATAAATTCAACATGGACTTTGTGATTTTATACTTTCAATTAAAGTTATTTGCATAAAGAGTTTATATTATTGAACTTAATGCATTGGAAGCCTAATCACCTTTCGATTGATTTAGTGATTTATGCATGAACTTGAAAAAGAATTGTGTAAATTAGACCAATAATAATATAAACCGTGTGCTAAACTATGAGACCGAGAAGTAATTAGCTCACATGTGGTAGTGGAGAAAGAGAAGAGAGTTAGGAGCTCTCCGTTCTTAAGCTAGTGGTTTCCATAGAATTTAATGCTCATTAGTTTGTTTAAAATTATATAGAGATATGATTAATTTAACAAACAAGTAAATGATTAGCTTGACTTGAGAAAACTAGTTAATTAATTTAGGGAAATCCACCGTCACATGCAATAACACTTAACAAATTAGCATATTAATCCAGAATTTATATTGATTAATTATGGTGAAATCAATGTCTTAGTACCTCATATCTTGATTAGGTTTAATTTAATTGTTATTTTCCTTTTGTTATTTTTTAGTTAAACTTTCTTCCTTTTATATAGTTCAAATAAATTTAGATTAATTATTTTGGTACTTAATTAGACACAATCCTTGTGGGTTTGACACTCTCTCATCATTATATTACTTGGAGCAATTAGTCCACTTGCTAGGGTGATTTTAGTGCATCATTGGGTTTGATTCCAAAGAACCCAAGCCTGGGTTCGATCGAACCTGGCAGTGGGTTCCTTGCCTGGGTTTGTCGAACCCAGGGGGGAAAGAAAAAGGGACAGAGAAGGAAAATGAAAAAAAAAAAAAAAAAGAATTTTTTGAGTTTTTTTGTCATATTATTATT